ATATATAAGACGAAGGAAAGCCTCCAGCTCTTGTGGGGTCTTTCCTTCCAAAACCAATCTCTCAGCAAAGGCCTTACGCTCTTTTTGGGTTTCTTGAGCCAACCTTCTCAATTTGGTTTTGCGTTGCTCTTCGTGATCAAGAAAGTATTGCTCTTTAGTCCAGCTGAGGGTAGACTTGTGATCTTCCATTTTGGCTTGGATTCTGGCCTCGTCCGCTTTTATTCTTGCTTTGTCAAGATGTTGGCGCCAATCTTGAGCTTTGGCAATGACCTCGAGTTTAGTGTTGTTCGCTTGTTGGATGGCTGTAGCAAGCGCATGCTATTGGTATTTAACATGCACATTGGATGGATCTATTGAAGGGAGTGGGTCCATGGCACGGCAAGAGAGAGTTCCGGGCACAGCTCAAGGCCGCAGCTGCTTGAGTCGCAGAGGCGGCTTTTGTAGGTCCTGCTTCATCATCCAAACTGGAGTCCAAGGCGCGCTCTTCTGCAGTTAGAGCGAATTTTCTGGCCTTTGCCTTTTTGGTGTGCTTGCCTTTGGTCAAAAGGGAAGATGATTTAATGGCAACAGAGGCAGATTGCCCATGACTTGAGGCATTTGCAAGTGGAGCCGGTGATAAAATCACACTACCAGCATAAAGTAATTTTCCCAAGTAAAAAATGAATCCATTTAGAGCAAAAAATGATTGAAAATGCATTTGATCAGCATCAAATCAGCATCAAATCAGCATTATCCAGCATTAAATGAGCATTTCTGATTAAAAATGCATTAAATGTAATCATTTTTTCCTTGGGAAAATTACCTTTTGCTGGGAGTGTCAGGTGTGCATCGTCTTGTCCTTTAGGCGTAGGAGGTGGCAAGCTGAAATTTTTTTCCAAAAAATTCCGATAATGAACGTTGAGAGGATCAGGACTCCGTGGGGTTTGTACAGGAGAACCGGGTGCAGGCAAAATGGGTCGAAACTGAGCAACCTTGGTGGGGTCTGGGCTGGCCAATCGTCAAATCACTTTACCAATTGGTGGATCGCCTAAGCAATCAGCGACGTAAGAGGAAGAGTCAGCATGTCAGAAAGCAAATCTTTCTCATATTTACTTCGCAACATGTTAAAAAAACACATCTCACCAGGTGTAACGCCGCCGTTATCATGTCCATCGGTGGTATCACTGCCGCCAATGTCAATGTCATTGAAATCCTGGGCGCCAAGGCCACTGTCGAGGATTCCCAACGGGTTCACATTCCCTTTATCCCAAAATAGACCATCCATTTTGGCATAACAAGGACACATCAACTCCAACAAGGCCTCCATAGTATGAATCCCTCGTGCGTGTTGTTTTGCCTCAAGACCAGCCCCGGTCTTTGAGCTGAGAGTTTTCACAGATTGATACTTACTCTTGTATCTTTGAAGACGGAGGAGGAGTGTACGACCGGTCAAGTGCATATCCGTTGAATTGTGACGTTCATTGTAGTTGTTGTTGAGTTTGATAGCTAGAGTGTTCAGAAGGGTTTTTAGGCAAGCCCGTCACTTTTGTTTGGATGCCCCCCCCAAATAGCGAGTTGAGAACATTTGGTTTGGCGAGGTAAGCAACAATAGTTTTGTAATCCACTATTTCAAAAGCAGGATTGTCCATGTTCGAGCGTTTTGAGTTACTTGCGCTAGCTGCTCGCTCAGCTCATTTGTTGGCCGCCAGGCGGGATTGTTTCATCGCGGCAGCACTGGCCTTGGACACTACGACATGGCCAGAGAGGGCCAGGTCCGCCGCGATCTGAGCTTTCATTTGGTGTGGGTGACACGCATCCTTTTGAGAGCGACGTGGTGATGATCTTGGCAACATGTGCATGGCAGATGACTGAGAGTAGAAGAAATATAACCACACAAGTCAGACCTTTTGTACAGATACCTATGAATGATAAAATCAAGATGTAGATCACCTACCTATTTGTTGAAAGTACAGCTGGCAGACCGACGTAAATTGAAGTCAAAGGCGAATAAAGGCACTTCTTTGAGGACAGGAACCGGAGGCAAAGAAACAAAATGGATGAAATCACAAGGCCAAGGCAAGAGTCAAAAGGGAATAAAGGTGGTTCTTTGAGCACAGGAACTGGAGGCAAAGATCTACAATGGATGAAATCACAAGACCAAGGGGAGAGTCACAAGCAAATAAAGGCAGTTATTTGAGGACGGGAACCGGAGGTGAAGATCTAAAAAGGATGAAATCACGAGACCAAGGCCAGATTGTTGATGACAAGAAAGAGGAAGCAAGGAGGGTTGCACGATCAGAAAAGGATCTTGTCAAGAAGCGCTTATATGATGAAGACAAAGCGGGTGGTTAATATCAGCTTCAAACCGGGCGTGAACTGCGCAAGTGAAACCGAAATTGAGAAATAATCTAGAACCAAACACGATGGTGGATATGTCAAAAATCAAGCATCCGAGTTCGGAAGCGGCCTCTGTGCGTAACTTTAGGTGATATTGAAAGCCCCAACCTAATTGATGCGGCCCCTGTGCATAACTTCAGGTGATATCAAAAGTGCCAACCTATCTGATGTTGATGTCAAACGTTCTAGATGATACAACCTAATTGATGCGGCCCCTGTGCATAACTTCAGGTGATATCAAAAGTGCCAACCTATCTGATGTTGATGTCAAACGTTCTAGATGATACAACCTAATTGATGCGGCCCCTGTGCATAACTTCAGGTGATATCAAAAGTGCCAACCTATCTGATGTTGATGTCAAACGTTCTAGATGATACGATTTAAATCAGAAACAGTGCCCAAATGAGGTTGAAAGATCTGCTGAGAGACCTGAAGGTACGTTGATTGCCTGTTTGCCGTGTCGTGTGATTCCTGAGACAATTTGCTAATTGACGTGTTGAAGCGTGAGGAGTCCAAGGTGAGGGAAGGAGGAAAGCATGTAAACAAAGATCATGCTACGTAGGTCAACCAAAAGTGCCGGGGGCATAGGATTTACCGGCACCGGAGTAGCCGGTAAGTCAGGAACAACAAGCGAAAAAAAATATAACTTGAAAAAAACAAACGTTACCCACAAGGCACAAACCAAAAAAAACGGCTCCTTTTTTTTAAGCGCTTTTTTTTGCTGCAAGCAGGGAAAGGTTGTAAAATTCATAAGGACAAATCTTGAAATTAAAACCGCAAGCCACCTCTAGAGCTGGCTCACGTCCTTAAGATTATACGTATAACTTTAAGGAACCAAACAAAACTCAAATTCCTAATTTTGGCCGTAAATTGCCTACTTGAACCACCCTTTTGTCTTAGGTCAGAGCTTTTAGTATAGACACTTTGTAGGACGGTAGTCCACTCGTGCACATTGCACTTTTATCAGGTGAATACATATCTTGGGAAAGAGAACTTTTGCTCTTTTAGCCACCCAGAGATCCTATTGCATTTGATAGATAAAACTAATCATGTCTATCTTGAAATCTGTACCTTCCTTTCAGGTCAGAGCTTTTAGTATAGACACTTTGTAGGACCGTAGCTCACTCATGCACATTGCACTTTTATCAGACCGTGGTTCAAGACTCCAAATTTATTCACACATTGGCTGAGGTACAGTTGATGGTGGGAGATGGTCAGTGACATGGCGGTCAAAAGGCAAGATTGCCTTACCGCCACCAGATGGGCCATCTGACAGTCTACAGACCATCTCTGAGACAGGTTCATATGCTGCCAATCATTGGGGAGCTGATCAAGGGAACCTCTGTGTTCCCTCCCATAGCCACACCATCCACCCCTTGTGGGTCAAGGCATCAATGTCGAGGAAGATGGGGAGGAGCTCCCAGACCAATGAATGCATTCTAGGAGCTCTCCCGTTGTCAGAATAAAAAAGGGATGGCTAGAACCACATCTATGGAGGCAAATGTGAAAACTGAACCTTAACTTCACAGCCTCCGGTTTTACATTCCTTGAAGACATTTCCTCTTACCGTCTTCTGCTCGCCAAAAGACTGGTCGACCTCTCGCCAGGCTGACCACCCGGCCTACAGCCAAAATCTGGTCAAACACTGGAATTTTGGCCGGTGTTTGGCCAGATTTCGACACGATCAACTTTTCGCTCGTATTCCGAGGAAAAGTTACCCCGTGGTGTATGAATTCTTGATCAAGGAATGATGGCCACGCACAGCATTATGTGATGAGCATCTGTTGGTTGATCTATGCTCGACTGCAGCTGCCATTTAGGGTTTCTGAAGGTCATATCTGAGGGCATCACTGGATGGAAATCGTGAGCACCACTTCTTTGAAATCGTTCGTCCAACCAGAGCTTTCTCTCATCCACGCGTGTGTAAAAGTCCATCCTCAATAACGGTCAGTATCACCGGAATCAGCGGTCATGTTGCTTATCGTCATCGTCAGAAGGCACCCTAGATGTCATGAGAAGCTCTAAGTTACTTGCTCTACCGCTGTTCATTGTGTGTTTTGATTACTTTGATTGCAAAGACGTGAGCCCAGATCACATTTTGACCAACACAGCCTCATACGTTTCCCTTCAACTTTCACTTGCTTGGCACCAGCGGTGGCAAAGGTGGATACTTCGCACCGATCGGTTGGATGAGGAGCGTGCTCTGTCTACATACCTGATCCTCGCGTTCGGGAACACTGGTAGAAAATTCACCGCGTAGATCTTCTCCTTCGTTTATATCACATACATAGATGTCGTAGGCCGAAGGGGTATTTTTGCAGCACCGGTGGGAAGGCCTGCTCTTCAAGTCACGGCTTAGAGCGCACCGAGAAGAATGGGAATCACGAGAGTGAAAGGTATGCCTCATCACTCAACGCGACGAAAGGTCCCGGCTAGCTATAAAAGCAGCACCTCAAGGCTCGTTTTTCTGTCCTCCTCACTCCTCATCCAATCCACTCTTCCCTACAAAAGTCTTATTATTAAAACTGTGCTAGGTTTACGACCTTTTACTATCAACTCTTATCATCAAAATCTTCAATTAGTTATAAAGTTTTCTTACGAACCAATCTCAACCAATCTCATCATGCATTTTGCACTCCCACTCTCAACTTTGTTGTGTGTCTTGCAGACTGTTGTAGCTTTACCTACCCGATCTTCTGGTCTTGATGCTTCTGCTATTTTGAGTCCTCGAGCGGGAATTGAGGAGGTTGTTGCGAGTGGTAACATCAAGGAGAAATCCATTCAAGAAAAGTGTTATGGTGGTATCAACAATTATTTCTCAGGTGGTATGCCATTCACGTACAATTATTATAATAGCCTTATGTACAACAATGGCTTTCCTGGCCTTTGTAACTCTTACTTCGGGAGTGGTTATCAATGGGGTACTTGCAGTTCTTACTTCGGATGTCCAAATTCTGTCAATACGTTTTACAACTCCTACCTGAGTGGATTCAACGGTCTTTATGGATCTTCTTTATATACCTTGAATGACAAAGACTTGAAATCAGTAAGTCTTAGTCTTTCAATTCAATGTATGTTTCTTGGATCCTGACTTGTATTCTTCTTGTTGTCTACTTTTGCATTTCAGGACACGAATGCTGTTCTTCTTGTTGTCTACTTTTGCATTTCAGGACACGAATGCTGTTTGAGCGGTAGGATTGAGATTCGAAATCGTTTGATGACTTTTCTTATTTTATCATGGTTTGTTATAGATCATCTATTATTTCGTATTTTGTTTTTATACATGCTGACTTTGTTTTTTGACCTTTTGCTCATGTCACATTATAGAATCTATCTTATGAACTTGAATGATTTTGATGTGATACGATGAACGATCCTGTTTTCTGTTTTCTGTTTTTTCCTTCTCTGTACTGCGCTGCTCTCCCTCGAAGTGTATCTCACATAAAAACTTTCTTGCCCGACACGCCTATAAGTTGTTCTCCGTGTATTTTTGTTTCGCCTGGCCCTAGCTCCTTGTGATTGATAATTCATAGGTAAACATGCGCTTGTGGACTAAAAAACTTTGACATCCATCCAAAGATGTGGCGTCTCCATTTGACCTCTTGTGCATATTTTCTTAAGATCTCCAATCTTTGTGATTACCAAAATGATCTTGAGTCTATTGGGAGGTGTGATGAAAGACGAATTGATCCTTTGCTTTCCCGTGAAAGTCTACCTCGTCATCTGCGATAGTTATTGTTCTGCATCTCTTTCTGGGTCATTTTTCCTCACTGGTTAACGTATCAGATAGATTTATAGACCTTATACTACATTGAGTTTACTTGTACAAAAGGCAACAAAAGTAATTTAAAGGGTTCCAATCAGCTGACGTAAATGTTAAGCAGATAGACTGAATCAATAATCCGATTAAATACCATCTGGTAATTCAAAGCAATATGATCGGTCTGATTTGACTTCTTACACACACGTTGATGATAACCCTTCTTCAGAACTTCAAAACGGACCTTGCATTCCATTCTTAGAGTCAATGTCATTTACCACACCTTGGCCATCCTGAGCTCGTAAGGCTTTGATGACATCCAAGTCAGTTGTATCTCGGGAGTCAGGATAATTTTTTTCATCGAAACGATATGATTTAAGTGCTATGAGATCGACCGTTCTTAGACTCTCATCATATCTCAGGTTTGAAAAAGCAATGACAATCGGCCCTTCGTGTTCAACTTCACGTTCATCTGAGCGCGATCTGAATAAAGAGGCTATGGAAATCATTCGGTGAGAAAAATGTTGGAACCCATTTAGAATCGATTGCTGCGATAGAGAGAGAGACAGACATGAGATTTTCTATGAGAAATTCGGTTCGCGAGGCATGAGGAAGAGATTTCACATTATACTCTGATGGATGTAAGTTGGAATCCCCACGATAAGGTTTCTGGTGGTACCTGTGATGAGTTTTGATGATCTAGTGTGTTTCTTGTCAATATATTCCTTGTGAGTTTTCCGCTAAGGGATGGCATGAAATTGCCAAAGGTTGTGATCTTTGATGTATGGTCAAACGGAAAGAGCTTGGCGTTGTTCGAAAGAAAAGGCCTATACGAGTCAAAGCACACGAATCAGTGACTGACTAGTGCAAGTAGAATACCGGGAGCTCCCCTAGTCCAGCTTGACCATTCATGGACAATCGACAAAATATCTCTTGCAGGAGTTCCGTACACAATTTCCAATACATCGAAAGCTATATGATACTTAATTCTGAATTTCAGAAGAAACCTGAACAAGAATTTCTCGGTTTCTTCTTTTTTTTGATAGATCTGTGCGTCTTCAAGAGGCAAACAAAAATTTTCTTGCGTCCACAAAAATCCACAAATAGGTGGAAAAGATTTGTAAGGACAGTAATTTTCTCCACCCCAATCACATTACCCTCACAGGCCAAACCATGGTTTGTTGTCATCGAGGGACTTTGTTGAGTTTAGGTATGCTCTAAATGGTGATTATCCTCTGAGCACAAGAGGTGCAATCAAGTGGTCTGTTTGTCGAGGCTTTGCAAGATGGAAGATCCTAGACTTGCACAGGCAGGCTGCAACTCTAAAGTTCACCATGTGGCTCACACATTCAAGAGACCAATTCCTGGTGATCTGTGTCAATGTTTTTTCGGGATTTCGGCCAAGAACTGTTATCATCTACGACATGGACCACCGCAGGGACATCCTTGGCATTTGTTTCGATTTCTGAAAGAATGATTTCAATTCATAACGACTGCAGAGTATTAGGTCATCACGACTCACGAGTCATGAGGGACTTCAGCTTTGTACATCCGCAGCTACCAAGCAGCGTGAGACTCCGCTCAGCTCCGCTCCTCCGTTGATAGTTTTTCAAATGTCTTGACTCTTTGGGGCCTACATACAACCGGCTCTCACCGGCTCAGAGCGATAGCGTGGGACTCTGATGAGTAACTCTTGAATTTGATGGGTGTGTTTCTGTCGATGCTCAAGGATTTGTGTTGTACGGAAAGATTTGATGTGTGATATCAAATTACAGCGCTGGCTGTAGTTTGTAAAGTTGGATGATTTTGAAATTTGTGTGTTGTCAATTTAGACAAGGACATATACAGAGAGTTAAACCGTAGCGAACAGAACTTGAGAGAAGAAACGCAAATAAAAAGAGTGGGGGGGCGGATTCCACACCACCCACTTTGATTTCTGACCTTCGTTTTGTGTCCTTGACTTTTTCGCAACGAAATCATTTTCTCTTCTTTGAAACTGTCATCTCATCATAACCCTGCAAGTCCATCCTAGCAGACCTCACTTACCACCACCATCTTTTCCATAACAGGTGTGACGAGTGAAACCGAGACTGCAGGAAGAGCTCAACATCCTTGGTACGTCGCAGTCACTGGTCAGTGATTGGAAGCGAGGTAGTGGTGATACTAATGCTTGTTGTATCCATGGATGCGTTTTACGAATGTTCTTGTAATAGGCGAACTTTAATTCTCGCTACATACCTATAGGCTCAGATCGTTCCGGTACAGGTGGTTTTAGGACTGATCGCATTCACTCTCTGTCGGTCGGCTCGGTACTCCTGCTTGGCATACACATACCATTCTCTTAGCTCGCTCTTATCCCTTCGATCACAAACAAACAATCTTTTTACTTTAGCGATTATCACCAAAGGACTTCGATTCAAACTCACTAAGATACCCCTCTTTCGGTCAGGTGATTAGGAAAACTCAAAGTTTTCCTTTGCGTCTTGGTTCGTTGTTCATTCTTATTACCCTTTTGTTCATTTCCACTCCTTTGTAATGTAGTTCAAGTTCAAAGTGAAAGAAAGGACTCCATTTTACCCCATGGTTATGATCACAGCGAGTGAAGTTGACACAGAACTGTTTTGTATTCCCAATTCAAAGTAGAGATACCCCAAATCACGAGCGACATTCACTCTAAATTGATCTTCAATTTTCATCTGCCATTCTACCGATTCTATCACTCGACCCGACTTACCGGTCATCTTGAAATCAACAGAGACCAACCACTTTAGACTAGAATTTCAACATTTCACACGCTTGAAGCTAACTGCAAGTTTGGCTCAAGTGGATCTGTTCATCTGATTGCTGTGTAGACCCTCAGACCGAAGCATCGATCGATCCTTTTCCAAGGATCTCACTACTGAAAGATGTCGAGCAGTTATGATTTTACTTCTAGTCGAGATGGACGTCAACGTGGCAATCGTAGGGGTACTAATCCAAGTTCATCACCATCATTCATTCCATTGATTGAAACCAATGGTAGTCCAGTGATAGAGGAACAGCAACATCATCAGAGTCGATTCAGTTGAGTGTGCTTTGAATCTTCAAATTCGGATTGATGATTTCCAGTTTTTCATCTTGAGGATTTCACACTTTTCAAATGCTCTCTTTCGAAGATGATTCTTACATAATCAATCAGATTTCACAAGCCAGAGTCACATATATCCTCTTGTTGGCTATCTTGGAATTTGGCTTAGAGTGTATGTAATCTGCGGATTGAGCAGATTGAATGATTTGCTTAATCTCCCAACTTTAATATGCAATTGTCAATCAGAATGATGAGGGCATTGATTGGATTTGAAGTTGAACTTTGTGATTTGATTTGGTCATGGTTCAATTCACTCACTCTGTTAATCATTAGAATCTGACTTTAAAATTTGAATTTGATTATCTCTGACCAATAGCCGAATCCACATCATTAGCAGTACCATCCTCTTCATCATCAAACTTACCTGTACCCCCAAAATTCTCCAGTTCGATTGACCCTAGTAACCAGCACTATCAAAATGGAAATAGGCTTAATGATCATCTTACTTCATCTTCACCAAATCAATCATCTTTTGATTTGGATTACTCACATGAACTCTATAGGTCATCTTCACCCGACCAATCTAATTTCAATACTCCTCTCTATCCACCTTCTAATCCATCACTAAACCCTGGTAGTAGGGAAAGCTTTGCCTTATCTTCAATTCATTCACCTTCAGTTTACCCTCAGAGACCACTTATAAGACATAGTGGAGCCACATGGCAATCTGGTTCTGATAGTGATCTAACTCGAATCGGTACTGAGTCCCCTTGGATCAACAAAACAAGTTCAACTGGCATGTAGGAATCAACTCTTCCGTTCTCCTTCTCCTTTAGTCAATCTCCTTATACTTACACCTCACTTCACTTCTCTTTAGGCTTTACCAATACGATGATGAAGTTGAGGGGGAGGGACATACCTATCCAAGTCCAAATCTTAGCGTAGAAAAACCATCATCACGAGACCCTCCTTCAAATTTACAACAACAGCGAGCAGCTCATCGAAAGAAATTGATCATCAGTCTGATCGTCGCTGCTCTTCTTATCTTTCTCGCTATTGCCATTGGTATCTATGTCGCCTTACGAAAATCGAATTCGGCCAGTGACGCTTCAAACGGCAAAGCTGTTACTAGTACTGCCAATGGTAAAGTTGCTCAGCTTTGGGGAGTGGGTGGAGATAAAATCACCGTCAGTTTTTGGTTTTTATCACTTGTGATTTTTCGTTATCTCTAGATTTGTAGATCACTTACGGTTTCTTTGACTTTTGATGTCCAACCAAACAGACCGAGGATGGCTCAAGTTTTATCTACAACAATACCCTCGGAGGTACTTGGGTTTCAATCCCTTACAATGATACCGCACGCTGTCAGGACACTTCGCCGCCATTGAACCAACCGTGGGATTACTCGAATTCGAGGATTTATGGTGTCAACCTTGGTGGTTGGTTCGTTCTCGAGCCGTTCATCACACCTTATCTTTTTGAAAAATTCAACGACCCGAACGTAGTCAACCCGACGGTTGTAGACGAGTGGACCCTTTCTCAAGCACTCGGATCTGAACTTGCAACCACAATGGAAGAGCATTATAAAACTTTCATCACTGAGAAAGATTTCGCTGATATCGCTTCTGCTGGTTTGAACTGGGTTCGACTTCCTGTTGGTTGGTGGATGATTGAAACTTGGAGTGGTGAACCATTCTTAGAAGGCGTCGCATTCAAATATTTTGTCAAGGCTTTGAATTGGGCTCGTAAATACGGTCTAAGGGTGAATCTTGATTTACATTCAGTGCCTGGGAGTCAAAATGGTTACAATCATAGTGGAAAGCTCGGTACCATCAATTTCTTGATAGGTTTGATGGGTGTCGCGAACGCTCAAGTCCGTCTTTCTTTTCTTTTGTCATTATACTTGTATGACCTCTAACTAACCTCGTTTTTGATCTTGAATCAAACAGAGAACATTGAATTATATCCGCACCCTCACCCAATTTGTCTCACAACCTCAGTATACAAATGTGGTACCGATGTTTTCGGTTTTGAACGAGGCACTTGTTCAAAAGATTGGCGCAACCCAGATTCGCTCCTTGTTAGTTCAACATTCTCTCTTCTTGTCAAATAATCGCTTACACGACTCTCTCTCAATAGCTATGTACAAGTCTACGACATGATGCGCTCAATCACAGGGTTCGGTCTTGGTAAAGGACCAATGATGGTTATTCACGATGGTTTCACTGGAACAGGAGCCGGTCATCTTGGATGGGGAGGTTTTATGCAAGGCGCCGACCGGATAGGACTCGATACTCATCCCTACTTTTCATTTGACAAACAATCTAATGATTCGATGGATTACAACGCATACAAGCCCTGTACTTATTGGGCCAAGAGCTTTAACCAAACTAATGCGGACTTTGGTTTCAATTTTGCTGGGGAGTACTCATTGGCAATCAACGATTGTGGACAATGGCTCAATAATATCGGATCTGGATCTCGCTTCGATGGAACGTATCCCAATGTCAACACACCTGATCTCGTCCATTTCCCAGTTGTGGGCTCTTGTGCGTCCTGGAACGATTATACAACCTGGTCACCTGCTCTCAAGCAATCGTTAATCGCACTAGCCGATTCTTCACAAGACGCAATGCAAAATTCTTTCTTTTGGACATGGAGGATTTCACAATCTACTAAATCCAAATTGATACCTAATCCACTTTGGAGTTATTCTTTAGGCCTTCAAGAAGGTTGGATCAGACGTGATGCGCGTGCTAGTTTAGGAGGCTGTGCCAGGGCAGCAACCCAACAAGGTACTACTCCACCATTACAGCCATGGACACCGCCCTTCGCCGAAAATCAGATTGGTGGTAATGGCACTACGAGTCTCATCGATGCAGCTCAACTGGCCCCATACACCGTTTGGCCTCCCGCTTCGATTACCGCTCTTCAAGGTGGAAACCAAATGTATAATCAAGCACAAAATTTACCTTTATATACTGCCACTGGTACCATCAAGAAGTTAACACCAGAGCAACCCAGCTTCAATCTTTTTCCAGCCGCCGCCACCGCCACTGCAGCCGGAGATGGGTGGTACAATAAAAATGATCAGTCAGGCTGGTGGGTTGGAATCGACGGTTGCCAATACCCTGATCCTTGGAACGCCGGTGGTCTTCCAGCCCCTACCGGTCCGTTTTGTCAAGGTACAAATACTGCTGATGCGCCTGTTATAACTGCCACACCTGCTCCATGATTCACTGTCGTTTTTCATACATATATATACATATATATAATTTACACCGAAAATAATATGACATGGTGATCCTAACCTCATTGTCGTTATCCTCTTTTGTATCTCTTATCGTCTTTTTTTTAATCCTTTTGCCCTTTTTTTTAGAATTTGTTTAAACTTACTGCTATCTTATTCCATGTCACTCTTGTTTACTTTCATTTTTCAATACTTTGCTCTTTTTTACTACGATTTATCTTAGTCACTATCTCTCAGATTATTCTTGACAGACTTTTTTTTTACTGCTATATTATAAAACTTTCAGTTGTGTTGGGTAGAACATTTTTTCTATAAATTAAAGATCTTAATGCAATCCATCATTCTATTTTTTCTTCCTTTTGAGAATTAAAGCGGTTGCTTTGGTCGTAAGTGTATTTAAGCTTATGTTGATGGGCAGATTAAAAGAGCGCTTTGAGACTATCAAATTAGAAAGTGGATATGTGATTCTGAATTCAAATGGAACATGGGTTGCATCCTTATCCATCCTTATCTTTCCTAGTCTTTCCGATCGCAGATTCACAGGTTGGCGTGCCTCTAAAAGTTGTGAAGACTGCAGTGACCTCTGACTACTCATCAATTGTTGAATTCCTTTTTTGGAAAAACAGTCAAATGGTTTTCCCAGAGAGGGTCCTGACTAATAATGAACCTTTCAATAAATAACTAACTTGCCGTTAGTTTTTTCTGACAAAACTCAGCTTGCCAACTTTGCCAACACCTCAATCTCAAATCTACATTTATCAATCAGAGCACATCAACTTGAATTCTCAACTCCTGACCTGTATGTAATCGATTCATTTCAACTCAATCTTTACTTACAGTCTCAAATCTACATTTATCAATCAGAGCACATCAACTTGATTTCTCAACTCCTGACCTGTAATCGATTCATTTCAACTCAATCTTTATCTACAAGGAGATCTTTTGATTCAAATTGTCTCGCGACGATCTTAGAGAAGGATAGGATAGATTTGAACAACATCTCAGCTGTCAGTTTCGGAAGGCCAAAGTATCAAAATTTTGAAAACTTCTCATCTTGATTCCATTTCAAATCACATTGCTAACCGTAGCATTCAAACATCGAATCACGCATCGTAAGTTGAATCCCACTTTGATAGCTCAATAGTTCTGTATCTTTGACTGAGTGAATGAGGATCGCGTACATACGTCCTCAGGGTTACGGGTAGATCTGAGATTTATGTTTTGTTTAGACTGAGGTCATCTTGATTCTTAACATCGTAGATTCGAAAATCGTTTTGAATTGATTGAGATAAATTCACATAACTTGGATGCAATTTGGTTGAAATATTTACAGTACTATAACTAGACTGATATTTGAACAATTCACTTTGTCAGTGAGAGTCTCGAACGATCGACTCATTCATACTTAGAACCAACCAATCCAATAACTTCCACTCTTTCGTTTCACAGTCACTTGGTCTTTCACCTTACAATCTCTGAGTTTTCATCCACTTGACTTGAACTGTATAGAAATTCAGCGGACTTTGAGACAAGGATACTTGGCCGGCTTGTTAACCGGTTGTGATTTTTGAACGTCCTGAACAGAATCGAATTTAGGTTACCTATCCTTTTTCAGCAAGCATCAAGACAATCCATCCTCGATTCGCACATGATTGAAGGATGTCAAACGTAAATGAAAGAAGTGATGGTGGAGCGTCTATCGATCGAAAACCGGGTCAGATCACCAAGCCTACAAGGAGCTCACAAGTCAAGTATCAGACAAGTTCCTCCTGGTTAAGCTTTGGCTTATACGTCTCTACCTTTGCCATGTAAGTTGTCTTCGCGCATTTTGACTTGGTTCAGATTCGATTGTGTCACGTCCATCGCCTTGACTTCTCTTCTTACGATCATCTTTCCTGTGCAGTCTAGCATGCATCTCGACCTACCTTCGATATGCTTTACCCGATCCGCTGCCATTACCAGATCCTATCTCCGCTGTAAAACCAACTTCACCATTATATTTCTCTGAGGCTTTGGCCAATACATACATACATCATCTTGCAGACACGATCGGATACCGGATTGTTGGTACTGAAGAAATGTCTGAAACAGTGGAATATGTTTTGGATTTGTTAGAGGGTTTGAAGGCGGACGCCAAAAAGGTCGGTGACACCAAGGAGATCGAGATATGGCATCAGCAGGATGATGGCGCGCATTTATTTGAATTCATGGGTAAAGTGAGTCAACCTTGGTCCTCTCAATCTGCTTGACCATTCGCCATCTTTGGGGCTAGGGTAATTTTCAACCATGCATCCAATGCAAGACCCAAACGCCCACTCAATCCATAGATCTGACTGTTATTTTTCACAATTTGACTCTTGAAGCATGTTTGGAAAAAATATTTCCAATTGTCGAATATAATCGTTCGGATCTCTGATCCATCCATCCCGAGATCGAAAGAAAATGCCATCTTGGTAAATGCTCACTTAGATAGTACTTTACCATCTCCTGGTACGAATCATAGCCGTTCAAATCCTCGGATGTTACCTCATGCTGAATCGTAAACTGGCGGACTTCTCTTCTCCGCTGAAAACGTATCCATCCAGGTGCGGCAGATGACGTTGCTGGCGTTGCGGTTTTGCTCGAAGCCATACGCATTATCACACAATCGCCTGAATGGAAGATTCACAACAGTATTGTGTTCTGTACGTTGGAAGCATATATTTTTATTTCCATTGGCAGGTATAGCTCAGCGCTAATCTTCAGTCTTCTTTTTGCAGTGTTCAACGGCGCAGAGGAATCTTTGCAAGATGCCAGTCATCTGTTCATCACCAAGCATCCTCTCAAAGACGTGTTAGTTTACTTCCAATGATGTATTTTGATCATTGCATTTATACCATATTGACCAAATTGACATGGTGACAATCACTCTGGGCTGGTCACAGTGTGCGAGCCGTCATTAACCTGTACGTGTGTTCGAGATCCTTTGGGTATCTATCTATATATGCATATCACCGCTCTGAACTTTCGATTACTTCAGTGAAGCGTGTGGAACCAACGGCGTGAGTCGCTTTGATAAGATAATAACATGGTCCAATCATATGTTCAGCTGACTGTGCATTCCATTTCATGTCACCAGCAAGAAATTTTGTTTCAGGCAACTTCACATGAGGTATATTCAATTGAAGAGGAACCAATGCGAAGACCAACAGGCTGATGTCTATCGCGGTTTTGTTCGACACTGTAGATGATACGCGCGTACTCTCAAGTACCTCGTCCTTTCGGTACGATCATCGCTACTGAGGTGTTTCATACAGGACTGATTGCGTCAGAGTACGAAGAGTCTTACAGTCTCATATCATGCGTTCATTCCGCTTGCCGGTTTTGACTTATCATTTCTCTTGAACTTTGATGTATGGGGATATAGCACCGACTTCCGGCAATTTGAACAATATGGCAACCTCACTGGTCTTGACATGGCTATCATGCAGAATTCGTATCTTTATCATACAAGACAAGACATACCTTCAAAGATCGAAAAAGGTGTCATTCAACACATGGGTGAAAATACCATGGCATTATTGAAGCACCTATCGGCTGAATCAACTGATCTGACGAACATAGAACGAAGCTCTTCGACTGTTTATTTCTCGGCCTTTGGTGGATACGCCTTCTTCATGTATTCCAAGACAACGGCTCTTCAGCTATACCTTACCATGTTTGTGGTTGCGATAACTCTGGTATCAAGAAATGTGAACTCGAGTAATCGGACAGTATATCTGCTCTCGTTTTTTGCAAGCATTGGCTCCTTTCTCGCTTCGATCATCGTTCCCAATCTAGTAGCTTTCGTCACTGCCACCGTCTTACAGAAACCGTTATCTTGGTATCGTCATGAAGCTTTACCACTCGCCTTATTTGCACCACCTTCGCTTGTTGGTGCTCTTTCGGTTCAATACCTGTTTTCGAAATTGGTCAAGAAACAATCATTAGTTACTCCTGGACGCGAGTATGTCTTGGCACATGCCACTTTCTGTGGTTTGATGGCCTTTTATGGCATACTCGCAGTCATAGGCGCATTCTTTCACATCGGCACTGCATATCTACCAGCTCTAGGACTAGGATCACTCTTGCTGGGGTTGATAACGAATGAACTGGTGTTTGCACCGTTGAGTGGGAAATATGGTCATATTCATCTGCCCAGTTACCTCGTCGTACTTGTAAGTTTCTCATTATTTTCTCCGTGTCTCAGGAATAGACAACCAGGTCTACGTTTGGCTGATATTTGACGAGTCTAATAGGTGTTGCCCTGTTTGCTCGGAGTCGAAGGTATATTGGTATTCCTCGATCTGTTTGTACCACTAAGTGGACGGATAGGTCATGAGCCGCACGTCGATCATATCATAGCTTCACTCGTCAGTGGCGTTGGCTTCAACATCTTGGCAAGTGCCTTGCCGTTCTCGCATCGCTTCAGTACACGCGCCCTGCGAAGTTTCATCCTATTGGCGACCATTGTCAGCGCAATCTTGGTCTTGGTGTTTACTAGAGATAGCTGGGCGATGTTTGACTCAGATCACCCAAAACGTCTTCCTATTCTTCATATGGAGAATATCACCACTACTCCCCCTACATTTAGTCTTCATCTCGCAACTATGGATCGGGCACCTGGTTTCTACGAGCTAGTGAAAGACACCATGGACGTAATGGCGGTTTCGCAGCAAACTCCTATGTTAAACGCTATCAATGATGACATACCTGACTGGGACATCATTTATCCTGTCTCTCAATTTCTCAAGTCTTATCAAATACCGCTGATATCAGATGATCATCAAATGATCACTACTGATGGCGGACAGCTGAGTCAATACGTCTCTCCGTGGACAGATACATTCAAAATCAGTCTTCTTCATAACAAGCTGGATCATATCAACCACCATCGAACATTAGTATTCGCGGTCGATCATCCAGGCATCATTTGGACTGTCATTGCCTTCACGGCCGATGTCGTTTCTTGGGATCTACCCAAGAATCCTGCACGGGGCATAGAGCGCCACCACATCAAAGAAGCGAGCGCGTTTGGCGTTGATCGATGGACATTGAACTTGACGATCGCTCTCAATCAAAGCGAGTTTGATATCGCTATTGAAAACGAACAGATGGTTCGAGGCCAACGCCCTTCAATCCCTGCTTCAGATGAGAAGGCCTTGTTGAATCAGCGAAAAGGGATGTTACGAATAGACTTCAGTGGCTTAGATCAAATGGGACTTTACCCGGCTCGAGCCAAACCAAAACGTGTTCGTGAAGGACAAGAAAAACCTGATGCTTGGATTGGGACAGGGGTGGGGGGACCAGGGATGAAGTTCTTTAGACGTCTCGATACTCAATTACCAAGTTGGACAGATCCAATGTTATTGAGCGCGGTGGCTAATGTAGCTTATTTATGATGGTGATGGACTTATCTGAGACATACATTTACTTTACAAAATTCGTCCTTGCATTTCATTTCTACTGCCATATAAGTAATATAAAACCGTTTCGGCTCTGTTTTTGCACTTTCGGATGATTCTTTTAGATTGGAATCATGTATTATTGTCACAGTGACATGTCGATTCATAAAGATAGAAGTGGAACAAGGAATAGAGTTCAGATGGACCCATGTTGAGAGTTTTTTTCTCGTGATTGTTTTGTAGGTAGTTAGTGTGAAGTATATCATGCATCAAATCTAGGCTGTTATTAAAGAAATGAACTAGAACACATATTTCACGTATACATTGCTGTCGAGCCTGTGTATCACACTAGGGAACACAATGACAACAGCGTGCCAATTGAGAATGGGTACCCTAAACCTTTGCAAACTTCGCAACAATATGGGCTCGTTGTCACAATTGGGTGATAAAATGCAATGACAGGTCGAACAAACCATCTCCAAAGGAATCACCCGACTTTGAAAGGGAGTGATCATGATTTACTCGTCATGAAGCTTGTCAATGGACATTCAAGCTCTGTTCCCGCAATTTTTTTCTTGGATTTGTTAGTTGGATTAATTGGTGCTTTGGATGTAGGGGAGCATTGTCGGCAGCTTTGACCGTGGCGAATGAGTAGGATGTGTAATGCATATTTAAGATCGTTTGGAAGTTGAAGGTTAAGGTGGAAAAACGTTTGGTCTCGAGTGGCTTTTGGTGGTACCCAACCTAGTGATTTGGATAATCGATGAACGTGACTGTGAGTGATCGAAGAGCTAAGATCAATTTCATGACACTTGATAAGATTGAAAAGTGAGAGGACGTACGTGTCTACTGGAAAGGTATCACGTCCCAAACAAAACATACTAACGCAAGCGCCAGTCTTGATACCTACCCCATCAAATTCAACTGAAGTAGACCAGAGGAAGTCAATGATATGATTTCTAAAACGTGTAGATCAAGCATCAAATGGCCTACTGACCTAATTCTTGCATTACTTGTTCATCACTCATTAATCTTAATTTATCAAGTGATAAGATACCATCACCCTTACTTATGATTTGATTTAAGATTGTAATGATCACTTTAGATTTTCTTTCTGCTAAACCACCAACTCGAATGGTTTCAGTTAATTCTTTTATTCCTGATTTTCTAATATCTTCAAAATTGGCATTTCCATATCTTTCTATTATTTTTGAATAAGCACGATTCGAATTAGATGTTGAAGTGTTTTGACTTAAAATCGTACGGATTAAAGCTTCAAGTATATTTGAAACTTCACCGCATGATTCGGCTGTTCCTAAATTATTGATCTTGGGATTAGGACTGATTTGATTTGACGATTTCTCAGGGCGCTTTGGTGTGCCACCATGAAGGTTACTCAAGATCTTACAAACTTCTTGTGATTCGAATAATGTTGGATGTGGAAAGTTGGGAAATGGTGATGAAGTGAGCACTATCTGCTTGGAAGTCTTTTTGGAAGGCTTGGCATGTTGTGTTGAAAGTAGAGGAGTGTTGCTGATAGAGGGTTTGATATCAGGTGTAGGATAAGGAAGAGGAGGACGAGTTTTAGTTTTGGAGGATCGTGATGTTGGCGGCGTGATCTTTGGTTTTTGATCGGTTGACGAAGAGGCGGAAATAGATGGCTTCTTTAGTGTGGTACTAGGTGGATCTGATTCTAAACTTGTCAAACTTGAAGAAGTGCTCGAACGGCTCATAGGAGCGGATTGGAATGAAGCTAATGTGGACGGCATCTTGGTATCGAAAATGTTGATGGGTGTTTTTCTGAACTGAATAGTTTGAAGTGAGATAAGATAATTGCAGGTATCAACATCAGTTTGCTGACCACCTCCCAAACCGTTAAGAGCACAACTCCAAGGTCTTTTAGAAATGACATCAATTATGCAGATCGAGTGTCATAAGCCAGTTGAAGCTGAGGCCGCGGCCATCGATATGCACCCCCCCGTGATTCGTGTTCTCTTCATAGGTTGAACCGATCTCATGGAGGTGAACTGAACTATGACCCTACCTGATTCGTTGTGGTCCTTAATCTTGAATTTAACTTTCATTTGTTTTCATTCAACCCATCATTCTTGGATTGTAAACTATACGAGGTTTTCTTAATGATGTCACTCGGTTTGAAGTGATCCGGATTTTGTTTGAACCAGTAAGGAGAAAGTGATTTAAATCCCAGTCTTTCGAAGAGATCCGTGATCCTTGACTGGGTATAAATTCCTCTGACCAGCAAGGCTCGATATTAACTCTCGGTTCTGGTTCTTCCTTCGATCTTGTCAATCATGCAAGTGAGTCAGTGACAAGTAAACTGCAAAAGCCCATATATCCACTACTACTCGGGTATGAATGTATTGAGTGTATGAAATCTTTTAATTTCAGGTTGTTAAGTTTGTTACTATAGTCAAACTCAACATATGTTCCAAAGTAGGAGATGCTCTCCTATGAGTTCTTTGTAACCAACACGTAGTGTAATCTACTATGCGGTGGTGTGGGGGTGTGCCCCGAAGGGGCAGGCTCCTGGAGATAGACGTCTATCACCAGGTCATGCCTATCCTTTCGGGGTGATAACAAAGAACCCGAGGAGGGTTTCTCTTCCCCTGGGTCGGTGGGCGGGTGCTAAATTTATTTTCGAGCGTTGAATTCTAAGAGAAAATAGAAAGAGAGAAATAACCAAGCTGGGGAGAGAAATGAGTTGGCGACTGTGGAGGAGAGAGAGGAAAACTTTTTCCTCTTCTGCTCGTCAGCCACAAGCCACTCTCCTCTCGCCTTCCGGGCTCGGTACTCTGCCCGGGATTTCTCCCAGTACTTGGTTACTTCTCTACCCTCGGTATTGGACTACAGTTTACCGTCGCGGGCTTGGGGGTAAACTATCAATAATGTGATACCCTCCCCTTTAATCTCTTGGATCGTCAGGCCCATTGCACTATAACCTCAAAACTTTCTTTCGCAAAATTTCGTCAATCATTTAATACAACACACACGGATTTCAAAATGTTTTCAAGTCTTACTCTCACATCTTTGGCTTGCGTAATCTTAGGTTTGTCAATATCTGCATGCAATCGTCTCACCACCTCATGGGCTAACTGGGTTTTGTTCTTTTTTCAGCCAATTTAGCAACTGCCTTTCCACAACGAAATCCACTCGAAGGAGCCGCTGATGTATTGAAGTAAGGCGCCCCCAAAACGTTTGGGCCAAGATTCGCCGAAGACTGACATTTGAATTTGTCAGTGTGCTATCACCTCTTCAAGATTTAGAGACCACTCTCGCTCTGCCCGGCACCACATCCAATTTTTTGGTTAGGAGGTCGAACAAAGCTCATGGCGAGCGGATGTCCACTTTGGATATGTTTTATGCACATCTTGAACAGTGTGAAAACAACTTTCAGTCCAAAGTACAGACCAACAATCAGCAATTTGAACAAGTCAACAAGACGAACTCGCAGCAAGTTGCTACCCGTTTGGAATCAAACTTACAAGAGATGAATGACATCATGATGGAAACCCTAGATAAGATGAATTCTTCATTCACCACCCGCGAGACCGCCGCCCACGTTCTCCCAGCCCATGAGCATACGATGGTCTGTTTTCTCCAGAGTATCACTCCTGATTATCCAATCACTGAAGCTCTGTTCACACAGGTTGAATTTTGCGATCTCATGATCCACTTTATGAGTGATATTCAACAAATGTACACTCGAATTCATCAAATTTCGATCACATACCCCGTGGTGCAAACCCAATGTCAAGGTAAGTCATTCACATTTATTTAGAAGTCTTCTGCAAGACGATTGATTGTTTTTTGTCTCTTAGATCAAATGCAACATATGTCTACTTCATTGAACAATTTTGTGGAGCAATGTGTTCCAATGCAAGGTTTCAACACACAAATACTTGCAACAGCTCAAAAAACAAATGACTTCTTTAGCCTAGCTGAGAAAACCCCTTTTGGATTTTCTGATTTTATGCAAAATCTTCAATAAGCCTTGTCGTGAACGGATCATATGTTGAATCTTCAAAAAACATGTGGTCTAACTTGTAAAAAACATTTTCACCTTCCTTTTTCACATACATATTCTTGTGATCAGGTAGAATGATTCCTAAGGTAGCATCATACATATTATTGTCTCACTGTACAGTGCCCTCCAAAAATTTTACGTACAGTTTTGTAAATACAGCTGTGTGTTGAAGTACTAGTGCTACAAATAAGAGTTCAATACAATATCACACCGTCTCCCATCAACACCAAATCGTGAAGACACGATCCCTGACATCCGAGGAGAGGGCTGAAATAGTTGGGGCAAGGAAGTCTGGGCTCACAATGGGTCAAATTGCAAAGAAACTGAACCATCCTTGATCAACAGTTTCAACAGTGCTTTCAAACTACCAAAAGAACGCCACCACCAACCCTCAGAGTCACGCTGGTAGACCCAAGAAGCTCACCGATCGCGATCGAAGAACTCTAAAACGAACCTTGAGGAAAGATAGGCGGAGTACACTTTCGGAAATCTCAGCTCAGATCCCAACTCGAGTCTGTCATAACACTCTTAGAGCCGAGATCAAAGACCTTGGTTTCAATTCTCGCATTGCAGTCAAAAAGCCTTACCTGAGTGCTCAACATCGTCGGAAACAATTAGGTTTTGCTCTAGCATACAAAGATTGGACGGTGGAGGACTGGGAACGAGTGATTTGGACTGATGAGTCATCATTTGAGATTGGAAAGATGTCAGGCCCAGTGCGAGTGTGGCAAAAGAGTAATGAAAAGTTTGAATTGGATTGTCTCACCCCGAGTTTCCGAAGTGGTCGATCTTCAGTCATGGTCTGGGGTGCTTTTACTTCATTTTGCAAGCTTCCTCTTGTCTTAATTCCACCTGGACGACGTTCTTCTTCCGACTTCATCTCGATTGTCTACGAGCGGGCTTTGAAACCTTTTGTGACCCATCCTTGCTGTCCTTCTAACCTCATCTTGATGGAGGATGGTGCTCCAGTTCATCGGAGTCAGGCTTCAAAGGAATGGCATGCCAGTCATTCAATCCTCAAGTTGGACTGGCCTGCAAACAGTCCGGATCTCAACCCGATCGAGAACCTTTGGAAGATCCTCAAGAGCTCGATTCCCAAGGAAAAGCGACCAAAGTCTCAACAAGAGATGTATCATCTTCTGGTGTCTAAGTGGATGGCTATCCCAGAAAGCAAGCTCAAGTCACTTGTTGCTTCAATGCCTGAACGGATTCGAGCGGTGATAAAAGCTAAAGGGGGTGCAACTCGGTGGTGATTCTGCTTTGATTCTACTGCAATATGTTGTTCTAAATACATAGCCTGAGCACTGCCCATAGTGAGAAGAATGCTTAGAAATGCATTGCAAAAAAGTTTGTCATCAAGAGTGTAGTTATTGGTCCCTTTGAAACATTTTTGATGACCCTACATACAGAGCAGATGTGCACTGTACGTAAAATTTTTGGAGGGCACTGTACATCTGCTGTTCAAAAAATATATATTTCGGCAATCAGCCTTTGTCATTTCACTATGTTCCCAATACAAGATAAGCATGACATTGTCTACACTCTTGATTCAGCAAATACAACGCTCAAGTGGTTCCTGAATTGTGTTATACCCTTTCAAACAATGTTATCAGAGGTGGCAAGTATCCACCATTACGTATTGGGGAATTTAAGCTTAATCCATTTACCATGCACCTTTATTAAATCTCGAAGCTTAATTTTACTAAACTTGTTATGCGCTGAAATTTACCGACCAGTATCTGATTCAAGCAGAATTATGAGGTCTGAGAATCCTTTTGAGCTTGCTTCACGTTCTGCCAAGATTAGCTTCACCCCTGTATTTTCAATTTTCATATACTGATAAGGTCACATAATGAATTGATGAACCGCCCCGCAAGCGTTGTTAGGCTAGCGGTAAACTGGGGCCTTGCCATAGTGCGAGTGGCCTCGTCAGGGGTTCGACTCCCCTACAACGCAAACATTTTTGTGAGTCTCGAGGACTGTCTGCCTGACTAGGTCTGCGTGAACCAACAGAGCCGAGGTTACTGCAAACTTAACCAAGTCCCAATTGTGCCCCAACTTAACTAAGTCCCTCCTCAAAGGCGCGCGTCCCGGGGGAGCTCGCGGAGGAGGGACTTGCGACTTATACAAATCTCCTTGCCTGGTACCCTTGTTGAAATTCGTGTTTTTTGACCGTTTTCGACTCCATCTAAGCTACTCGACTCACCACTAGACGGCAAACAATTCTAAATCAGCCAAGTTGTTCCGCTACATCTTGTACTTCTTTCTTTCCAAAATCCAGATGTGTTTATTTGTATTTGTAGTCTTCAGTGGAGAACTGAAGACTGTAACATTGATCTTGCTTGATCAAACAACTGCGCTGACGGTTGAAACTATTCTCTTGTCCAAAACCTTTTAGACAACAGAGAGAGGAAGACACAGAGGACATAGAGAGAGAGGGATCAGAGAGAGAGAGCAGAGAGAGGGAGAGACAAAAAGAAAAATAGAGAGGGAGAGACAAAAAAAGATACAAAAAGATTGAAGTAAAACTCTTCGACGTTCAATATATCCAGCGCAAAAAATCGATCGATCGTCCGCTATGTCGACCACGGAGACGAGAAAAAGTACCCTCCGAAGCTCAGATAAGCACCAAAAGACGTCCAGCAGCAATCAAAGACCGACCGAGATCCTTGCGCGTGCGCCTGCCACTTCGGTGCCTAAGCAAACACGATCCAAAGTGGTCCTTCCTGCTGAGATATTGGATCTTGCAGATGATGAGTTGTGCAAGTTGATCGAGGAAAATCATCGAAAAGAATACGGATGTGAAGCAAAAAAATTACAAGTTGAAGCCGTCATCGCCTTGGTCAGGGGTCGTGACACGTTCTTATTGGCTGGAACCGGCTATGGAAAGACACGGATTGCCGAGCTGTTTCTTTCTCTTTTTCCAAAAGAATTGAACGCTACTATAATTGTAATCAATCCACTAGACGCGCTGGGGGACAATCAGGCAGGTCACTTGCCTACATTACTCCATGAAATCTGGAGCTAATTGGTTGTTTTGCGTGCTCGGTAAGTTGTTGAAAAAAAGAGATGGAAGATCAACGCAGTAAATTTGACAAAGGATACATTTACGGAAAAGGTCAAGTCAGATATCATAGCTGGAGTATATAAAGTAGTCTATTTGGTCAGTAAAGCCTTTTGGATGATGAGGTACGAAGAAAAAAAGAAGGAGCTGATATTGAATACTCGCATTCTGGAAAAAGAGCCCAGATATCTTTTTGAACAACAAACTATTTGAGAGTATCTACTTCAGTCGATGGTTTCAAGATTGCTTGGTGCTCAAGGTTATCGATGAGGCACACATGATTTACTGGTGGGGGATGGTTCAAACTAGACAAGCAAAGCACTGTATTGCTTTCATGCGCCAACAGGATGTTGGTCAGTTTCGGGCATCTTATAGGGATCTTTGTCTTTGATTTTTAGCAACAAACAAGATACCTCTCCTTTTGATGTCGGCAACTTGTGCTCCCGGCCCCTTCTCTGCTATCCTCAACAACTTGAGTATCAGAGAATGTGATATTGAGATCCTCAGAGGAGAACTGAGTCGCCCCAATATTTGAATCATCCGTATTCCGACAAAGCGATCGATCAAGATAACACCGCCTGATCTCGCTAAGATCTATGGTAGCAAAGTAATTGTCCCTGATAGCGAACTTGTCAAGTCACTTATCTACTCGGGTTCACGAAAAGCAACAATGGAAGCTATGAAAGTGGTAAATAAAGCACAAGGGACATCAAAAGGAGAGGAGGATCCAGATAGTACACTGATCCGCAGGTACCATTCTTGTACTGGAAGAAAACAAAAGCTACGGGAAGTCAAACCCTACTCAAAGGATGAATTCCCCATAATGTCGTGTACTAATGCTCTCGGTCTTGGTCAAGATTGGCCAACAGTGATGGAGGCAATAGTGATGGGCTGTATGGGACTTCCAGAACTTGCCCAATTGTTTGGTCGATGTGGAAGAGGATCTAGTCCTGGACTGGCAATTCACTTTGTTGAAGAAAATCGACCGAAAGGGATAAATAGGGTAGAGGAGGTCAATGATTACAGTTCGATGTCAGATGACAATCTAATGGACACCTTTTCGTTCACGCCGATCTGTCTGCGTGTGGCTCTTTCACTCGGGAATACGTGAGCTCTTTCTAAATGACAAAGAATATCATCATACAAGCTAACTAGTTTGATTGGAAACTTGCTCAGGATTGGTGTGATACCTTGCAGAAAGGATGATCAATGTGTCCTAGCAGAACAGGATTGAGAGATAAAGGCTGGCTTTCCTGAGTGCAAATGCTCAAACTGCGACCCAGAAGGCTCTTGTATGCTATTTGGCAATCTACCTAGAATGACAAAATCAAATTACAGACAGGCCATGGACGATGTATTCAGTGTAGAAGAATTTTTGAATCCACTTGAACTCAAGGAGGAATTTCAGAAGATGAATATTGCCAAAGAGAATAGTAAGAAGAAGTCCTCTAAGAAACGAAATAGCCCTTTGGACCCAGCTTTGGAGGAACTTGCGGATGAATTAGTTTATGTATTTGAACTGCATTATAGAGAAATATTTGGGGATGACGGCTACTGTGAAAGCACCGATTATTTTGATCTTGATCGCGCAAAAGATATTGTTAGTCATCTGGAAGACATGACATCGGAAAAGGAAATTAAGGTTGTGATGGGAGGTGACATGCTGAAAGGAGGTGTGAAAGTTGTTTTTGATTACATGGAAGAGTGGAAAGGTCGTGATACAGGTCTTAATTATGCGCACAAAAGAGCAAAGGTGATAGAACAACAGAAAAAAAGTGAAGAGAAGCGTGCTGAAAAGGTTTTAACACAGCCCGATCAGAATTGCGCAAGAAAGCCTCAAGTACCTAAACAAAAAAGAAAAAGACGGACAAAAGCACACGTAAAGGCTGATGACAAACATGCAAAACTCCAAGCTGAATATGACAAGAGATGCATTCACTGGCTTTTGGTGGAAAAAGTACCCATCAATGAAATAGATGCCAAAGAGTTAGCTTATCAAAAGTAAGTGCTACTCCTCGCCTATCCATCTCACAAACTCTTCATCAAGATCACCAAACTCATCTTGCTCTTGGGAATCCTCATCCTGTTGTTCTTCACTGTTTTTTTGGCGGTAGTTTGAAGAAAGTGGCCAGTGGAAGCGCTCCAGTTGATGGTGATCAAGATCATCCCGCAGTTTCTGTCAACCAGAGAGGTTTTGCAGAGCAAAACCTCCAAGATTGACAAAGTAAATAAAATACATATTTAATTGAAAAATATATTACAACTCTATCACTCGAGTTTCAAGAGTGTAAAAAAATAATACCCCGATTTACCATCTCTAAAACCAAGGGTATAATTTAATTGACCCTTGGTAAGAGAAGAATAAAAATAACGAGATAAACATGCAACACTAACCTGGGACAGGGTCTGAAGAACGAAAGACCCTGACCAGGCTAAAAGACAACAAGATAAAGCCATGTCGTTGCTAAAACTACAGAAAAACCCTGACCAGACCAATGTCGAAAGAGGAGGGTTTTATTCGTGACATCATATTACGTTTATCAAGTTTAGTATATAAAGAACTAAGTTTTCTCACCAAAGAAAGAAGAATCATCCTTTATCACTTTTACAATTTTACAAAACCCTTTTTTAGTTTTATAAACAAAGAACTTTTAAACAAACCTTTTTCCCTTTCGATTTTTGATACTCATAGCTAGAAATCTTTAACTACAGACTTCCTATCTACTTTTATCTTTTATCGAAACGAAACTTCCTCTTCCATCTTTTCACTTTTCATAACTTCCGATTTAGAAAGCATTAGAGATCGTTTGGCTCAGCCCATCCGACTAAAGACTTTCACTCGGAGTAAAAACCTTTTTGATTTTCCGACAATCAACAAGCACTGAAGTGCCACCTGAAGTGTAGATAGCTATCGTAGCTATTACTTTGGAAGACGCTCGAGATATTCAGCATCTCGTCCAGTACCTGGCAGCGGCAATCATTCCGCACCAAAGGCATCTGTAGTCACCAGCTACAGTTTATCTCAACTTACTAAGAAATCAAAAAACCAGTTTTAAGATAACCATTTGAAAGAAATCTTTGAAACCTACATTTAGTAAGTCTTAGTCAAGCTAGTTTACCACACTCGTAAACCTCAGGCTGACAGTTTCTTAATTCCTAAAAGTTGAACATCCGTGATTGCACCACTGGAAATGACTGATTTAGGGCGATGTTGATTGATTGATTCACTTCTTGCCATATTCAAGAAGCGTATGACTGAAGCTGGTGTTGATTGATTCTTGTGGGATTGTCGCACAAGGTTGCGGCCAGCTTTTCTTTTCATGTTTTCAACTAAGTATGCAAGCTGAGCATGTATGTATATTTAGTTAGTGGTTGTGGTCATAGTTAACAATTTGTTTTGATTCAATTGTTGTAAAAAAGAAACAAGACCTACCAGCCCAACTGTGAGAGAGAAGGATTCCTTCAATCGCTGGATGTCTGTTCCAGGTCCCTAGTGAAATTAGCATATTGATCAGTCTAAGAGTTCAAAAACACCATTAAAATTACAAATGATCCACTCACTGCATGATTGTAGAAGTACTTCAACCAAAAGTTCTTTACCTCAAGGTAGAAATATTTTGCTACAAAGTGACCTTCTCGACCTGTTGGAGATATCAAAAGTGAATGGAGTATCAGGTGTGACACCGGTTTGGGAAGTACAACATTAAAAAGCCGAATCAATCGGGGTAGGTATCTCGAATAGTGTGTCAGTCCCTTTAATCCCTGAGTCATTATACTCCACTGCTGCCAAATGATCATCAGTCTTCCAATGTCACCATCGGACATGGCTCTGTTGGCTTCAACAACAGTTGCAAAGTCGCGAATTTGAAGGAGTAATTGAATTCGTTTTTGGTCCTCATTTTGACGTCCCTTGCGAAGGGCGCTGCCGGAGAAGTAAGTTACAAATACCTTGTTGACTGTTGTCTCAAATTCTTCAACAGTGAGTTCAATTGGGTTCTCAACTGTAGCTACAGGGAGAGCAAGAATATCGCTTCATCACAAATTCAAGATCAGTTATAGAGTGGAGTTAAACTGAAAATGTTCTGCCAAGACTTACAAGATGCAAAAGGTGATGGTAGCTTCATGAACTCGTTCAATTGTGCAGATCATCGAGGTAAAATGTTTCTTGGAATTTGGTTTTTCTTTATCCCCGCCAAGCTCAACTAATGTCTGCCAAACACCTTGATTGTTCTTATCATCTTTATTTCCCCAGTGATGCAATAAAATAGCTTGCGCAATGTTCCATAGCGTGTGCCCAGCACCAGGAATCATAATAAGATGAGCAAGACTCTCATCTTTAAATTTTGCAGGTGTGTGTTGTCGTTCCAATCCTGAGAAGTTCAAACAGGTTCCAAGATCACCTTCAATAATCTGTAGTCTATCAGAGGACTTGTCTGGTGATAGTCCAGTTTGTATGATTAACTCGTCGTAAAGCGAAGAAATACCATCACTTCCGTTGTCCGATGAATCCATGAGTCTGAGCATATCAATATCGGGCTTTTCAGCCTTTATCTGGTCAATTGCTGGTAGGTTTGAGACTGGAATATTCTTGTACTTATCAGGTGTTTTCATATAGCGTAACAGGTTCTGAGCAATCTGATTTTTCAAAGTTAAGACCCATCTCTTCTGCTGGTCGTTATCCGGAATCAAGTTGCCCGAGTCAATCAATTCTTCACAGTCTTTTTTGAGGAGACTCTGGAAATAAGGGATTGTACATTTCTCAGGATCCAGACCTTTCAATACTTCCGGTTTTAAAAAGTGTACATAACCCCAAGTCCCATGGAAGGTCTTGCTAGTCGCATCGATTTTTCAACTATGTACCCTTTCCATCATATCAAGATTATCAATACACAACAAAAACCCAAAAGTTCCCGCAGCCTCGATCTTTGTTTTTATTGATTCAGTTTTACTTTTTGCTAGGGCCACAAGACCACGCAGAGCGGTTTTTCGACATGCACTTAGGCCAATGTAGTAGAGATATTGGTTGACGCGTTCTGAAACCCCGCTGGCAAGGAATGCAATTGTATTTTCGACCTGTAGTCCGTTGTTTCAACGTTGACAGCCATAGGAAATCATCTGAATGGTTGTCAGAGCAATCTACAAAGGGCCCACACCCAAAACAGTCTCTTTGGTCAGTTCCAGGTAAAACATATCAAGAAGTTTATGATCAAGAGGCATACTCTTTTCCATCTCTCCTTTGCATTCTTAAACCTGTCCTTTGACTTATGGTAAACATAATTTTGATCTGATCCTGCGGGCTCATCATCAGATTCTGAGTCAGATTCTGAGCTTTCTGAACCAGCCCCGCTAGTGTTTCTTTCAGCCTGTAAATTTTGATGAGCTCTCAAGGATTTATATGCGGATTCTAGTTTGAAAGTAATTAATTCATGTAAGAATCCCATTCCTTCAACTACTTCAGTTTCTCGTTTTAACTCTGAATCATGAGTGAAGAATTCCATGTTGATTTTGTTTGCGTTGATGTAAAGACTCTGTGAGGGTGGAGACTGTGATGCAACGATCACTTTTGCCTGCCGATATTCAAACAAATATGGTGTCAGTATCACGTTGGAGAGCAAGAATGCGGTAACACACCTTTTTCAGCACCCATTCCCTCCATAGCTCTTGACAATCGGGTTTTTGATTCACTAACGTGTCAATCTCATCTAATACACATTTGGTTGTCTTCCAACCCTTCTTTGCCAAGCCCCACTGCTTTTTACGATTTACAATGGATTCGTTTTTTGAACAAAGGTAATCTAGAATGAACGTCTTCGTGTCTGTCTTCTGATCATTTATATATTGACATATCTTTTCAATTCTTCCGACAGGTTGTTTGGATGTTGATGGCTTATGAGCTCCTACAGATGGCTCCAAGGCAAGGTTGTTGGGATCACCTCCGTCCATTAAATCTTCCAATAAGATTTCTAAGACTGATGACAAGGAAGTATCACAGTATTGATTGATAGAGAGTTCAAGGTGGATAGATCACCACCGGATGGGATAGTACAGAGGAAGATTTAACTCAAAAGAACCAGTGTATGTATAATCATCTGTAGTCGCAGCAAGTTCAGCAATCAAAATTTGGAGTTCCAAAATAAGAGCTCCTTTACACTTTTCAGCTCTGAAACCGTTAAGAAGAATCTGAATAGACAAAAAGATTGGAAAGACAAAGATCTACAGATATCTCAGGTTGATTCAAATGTTTGGATTGTGTAAAACGGTGGAATTGGGGGTTGGAGTTATGTAAGGTCTCAATAAGAGAGAACCTTCACTGGGGTATGTGGGACAGCTCGAAAGCGCAATTCACCAAAATGACGTCTCTATATTTCCAAACAGCTGGCTCCGAGTAGGAGAGTCTCCTTCTAATCAGCTACTACACTAACACCAAACACACAAGATAAGATATAAAAGAGAACTGAATGATGTGCTTACCTGGCTCCGAGTAGGAGAGTCTCCTTAAGGAGAAGATTCACTCGAGAGCCAGGGCAACTAAGATGACTACACTCTTGATGTCTAAACCCATATCCCATAACTACAGTACTAAGCTCTACCTGTAAGGTATATCCTTACACCCTCCCCCTCTAAAAAGAAATAAAGAATACTAGATAATTCAGAAAAGAAAGAAAAAAAAGAAAATATTCCACCTCAATTGTACTCCTAAGTGATTTCTTGACTTGATATATGAGAAAAAGAAAAAAAATTGGCATGACTCGCCCTTAAAAAGTTGGCATGACTCGCCCCTGAAAGAAATTAAAAAGTAAAAAGACTAATTGAAAAAAAGCAAAAAGGAAAACTAAGTAAAAAAAAGAAAACTAAGGAACTGAATGAGAACCCTGAATGTGTCGTATGTTGAGGTCGTGAATCGTGCCTGTCCCTGTTGTTAAGAAGCGGACCAGAGATGTGCTCACAACGTGGCCGTGGAATTGCTTTTACAACGTGTAGAAGGGTAGCGGCGGTGCATACTAGGAGAGGAACTTACTTTTGGACCTCAGTCCCCAACGTTAAACCCTCTTCCCTCCTGTATGGCTTCAATTTCGAAATGTGAAAAGTTGGGTAAGTCTTGTCATCTTCGTTCAGGTGCAACTCGTAGTTCCGCCCATCATTTTTGACCGCTTTGATTTCATAAGGACCATCAAAACGAGCTCTCAGCTTAGCTACCGTACGACCTTTCCCCCCTACTATGTGTTGACGATCTTCACTGTCTACTAACACCCAATCTCCCACTTGCAATCTGTCACTGCCCTTCCTGCGTTTATTATACTGCAACGCCTGCTCCACCCTGCTTGCCCACAATCTATCTCGCCAACTAGCCCAATCTGCACGCCGTTTTTCAATCCATCTATGAGCGTCGCTCTCCCGAATTTGGGAAGCTAATTGATTCGGAAAGAGGCGAGGTTGTCGCCCAAAGACAAACTGAAATGGGCTGATCCCTGTTGCTGCGTTCACCGATGAATTAATGGCATACTCAACCGAAGATAAGGACTCTAGCCACTTTGTGTGACGCGATGACGCTAAGTGCCTTAAGATCTGACCCAAGGTTTTATTCGACCTCTCGCTTCGACCGTCCGTTTGAGGATGATATGATGTTGATAGTTTCACCTTGATTTGTAACCGTTCATTTAAATGCTGCCAGAAGCGTGACACCCAAATCTTGTCACGGTCACCGATCATCGACGATGGTGCGCCAAAGATTGCAAGCCACGAAGTAAATACTCGTCGCGCGGTCTTCTCAGCATTGTCCTTCTGAGAAACGGGGATTAGTCGAACAAAACCCGACAAGCGACAAGTACACGATACACCACGAACCCTCTTTTCGTTGAAAAACCGGTGCCAGGGGGTTTTGAATTTGACCCGCTGACAACCCGATGGTCCTCTCGCAAATTGTTGGACTGTGATCCGTTTTCTGCGCGGTAGATTGGCTACCGGTTGTTTGACCAGTGTCCAAGCAGTTGCAAAACCGCTATTCAAAACACCACATAAAATACCATGAGCACCACCTCCAAGCTTCCTGTGGTTGATCAATTATCGGATGCCTAACTCTTCTTCACCGGTTGAAGAATCAAGAGACTTTAAAGACTTTGAACCAAAATGAAAATTAAATCGAACACTTAATTCAAAAATTCTATCAACTTATTTTAAAACTATCTTAACCTTTAGTGACCACGAACATTTAATTCATTCTCATCATCATCATCATCATCATCACCATCACCATCCAATCTATCTCATCAAAATATAACCACCAAGTCCATTGAATCCTACAAATCAACCTTCTAGTCATCATCATCAACAATTCAATCCAGATTTACTTCATGATCTCATCATTCCCCTTACCTCATCCTCACACTTACATCCCAATCACATGATACTGACCTGACTTCTCTGTTATCTCCCAAAAGAGATGCTTAGGTGGATTTTGCTTTTTATCAAATTTGGATGACTCTTACTTAAACTTGAACAACATCGCGATTCACCTGAACCTCATTTACTATCTTCATCAGGTAAAGAGAAAAGTAGGAATGCTGAAGATTCTTTCTCATCAAATAGCTCATCCGAATAGCTCATCCGAATGTCAATCAACTATCAACACTTCCCTTCTTGTCCCACCTACCTCTCTTAGATCGTCATCGTTTAACAGCTCTTGTCCTTCAATTTGTTTTTAAAATCGTATCGGCTTGGTTGTTCTCCTGGTGCTTCCTTCAGGCGCGAATGGTACGGTAAACAAATCAGATCTGAGTAATAAAAACTAGCCCAATTCAAGCTGATAATGATTGGAAAGAAGATCTTGTCTTACCCGATTCCGATTTAGTCACTCGAGATCGATCAAAACTTTGAAGACCAAAGCTAGTTTTGCCAATGCAATCAGTCAAGAAGTTGATGATACCTACCACCAAAAGCTAGTATCCGAACAGATCCACTTGTCCTCAACCAATCTATCAATCATTTAGAAACTTGTGCGTTTTTCATTTTCAATCAGGCCTCAATCAATCAACTTCTGAACTCCCTTGTAGAGCTCAGTCAGGTCCAACACCTTTTATCTAAATATAGGCCTGATTTGGGTCGGGTTCAGGATGATTTTGCAGGTGATCAACTACTTGAATGAGACCCATGGAACAGAACAGTGCAATGCATGTGCATGAAGACTAGTTCTTATGTATTGATTTATAGTATGGCATATGGATCAGTTTTGGCTTTGTTTCCATCTTTCATTTCCTCTCATTTTCTCTCTTATCAATGTATGTTTCATGTCTGTAATATATTTTTTTCCTTGTCTTTGTTATCCTTAGTTTTGAGCTGTTTGTTTCAATCATTTTCATCTCTTATTTTCTATCTTATCAAGGTTTCATTTTTGTATTCTTAATCTTTGACAGTCCAGTAAATGGGTTGTTCTGAATGTAATAATTAACTTGGATTGAATCCTCTGTTTGTTTTGTGCTTTTATGAGCAAGTGAGTATGAATTGAGACATTGAATTGAGTTGATAAAAAGCCTATTGTCTCTTTCTTAGCAAGCATGGTTGGAGGCTTCAACCAGTTTGGAACTAGTGATAAATGGTGTAGTGACCAGTTTTAAAAAACCCGTTTACAACACGGTAAGACGGCCACGTGTTATCAACGGTGGTCACCACTAACAAGTAAACCGGTCCCCAACCGGGGGTCACCACCCGATGGGGCCTGGTTACAGGGGGTTCGTGGTGTAGAATCATATCGTATCCATTCACTTTAGGGAACGGACCAACAAAATCTAAACTGATGTGTTCTAAGGGTGCGTGTGGTACCTCGGTCGCTTGCAACCTTCCTGATATGAGCGTGGTTCTGGCTTTATTACGCTGGCAACTATCGCATGTTGAGACAAAATCCTTCACGTCTTTGAACATTCCCGGCCAAAAAAACTCCCGACGTAGCTGTTCAGCCGTTTTCAACAACCCCATATGTCCTAAACTGTCGTGAACACGTGAAATGATTTCCGTGCGCAGGCTTTTAACTTCCGGAACTACGAGACGGCCGTCGAGATACATCAAGTCTCCCACTTTCATGCTATCATCACGCAGAGGTAACGTTCGGGAAAGTTTCGAACAGAATGGGTCAATCTTATATCCCGTGACTATGGCTTTCTCAGTTGCTTCATCCAATTCAGCTTTAATTTCCACAGCTGCCGCACCTTCCCGTCGTGAAAGAGCGTCCGCAACCGAATTGCTTTCACCCTTTAGGTATCGGAAGTCGAGATCAAAATCAGCAAGAGTCTCGAGCCACCTTGCCTGCCGACGACTAAGATTACGCTGCTTCAGTAAATGGACCAAACTATGGTGGTCAGACATTACATTTACTTTGAGACCAAGTAACAGTAACTTCCATTTTTGTAAGGCATTGATAACCGCTAACAATTCCTGCTCATGAACAGGATAGTTTCGTTCCGCTGGTGACATCGTGCGGCTCTCATAAGCGATTGGTGAGGACGTT